CACCCACACCCAGACACTCCCCATTATAAATAGGCCCCAATTACAGACATCCACCATTACAGACCTTAGTAACTAGTATTATATTGTTATGGGAATATGTGAGTTCCACATTTCAGCCCCTCCCCCAGGGGTTGCGCTAACAAGCTTTTATCGTAAAAAACTTTCTTATTGTCTTGACAATAGCATCATTTCTTGATACTCAATCCTTTTCTTTGTTAATTGTGATTGCATATATTAGATCCTTTTCTATATGTATAACAACAGTTACCACTTATACGATTTAGAATTTTATTGCACGTAGTGTAAGTCTGTGTGACATTTTCGCTCCAAATAGTAAGATGTCAAAGAGTTGTGCATAAATTCTGGATTGATAAAGAATGTTTAATAATATTGATAAACCAGATAAGATTAATAACAATAAGTAGAAAGATTTCTTCTCACGATAAAATAAAGTTGTATCGTAAAAACAGTCTTAGTCCAATAGTTTACTTACGATAAATGGAAGTTTAAAGAAAAGAGTTCTCGAATAAATTAAGGTCCATTAAAAGACCATTGTTTTTTGGAATGATGATTTTGTTTAAGACGGTTCATATATATATACGAACGAAAGCATCGATTTCTGTCCGACAAATTGGACACGATCGAAGAGAATGACCACACGGAACACATGTAGCTAGATGACCACAAGGTATACAAGCTAGACGCTTCTCTTCTTCCAAACATAAAACGCAAGGATTGGATGACGATGGATTAGTCCCAGGACCTTTTTCAGGTAACGTAATTTTCGCTGTTTTGATATCTTGTTTTTGATCAGTCTTCACTGTCGACTTCTTGGAATTTTCCTCATCCACACTAGACTCCGATGATGTAGACATTTCAACATCCGTATTACTAGAGGAGTTCGTTGATGCTGATGTACATGCAGCTTGTTCACGAGCAATGATCTCTATAATATAATAAGGATCAACAAATTGTTACATACATATTCTGTTTCCAAATACCTGTTTGTACTCTTTCACGAATCTTGTTCATTGCTACACTTGGAATAATAATATTCTCTTTCTTTCCGTCAATGTGTTCAATCTGCTTCTGTAGAATTAAACATGCTACAAACAAATCGCAGGAGTCGCTAAAATCATCGCCTGATATATATAAAGTGACAAGAGATTCGTTAGTTTTTTGTTTAATGAGACGACAGATATGAGCTTAACTTACGCTTCAATCTAAGCTGATCTTCCCAACAACGTTTAATGATAGACAATTTATAATTGCGGTCAAGCAAACTTTGTGAAATAGGCAAATCAAGTCGTGCCGCTACGTATCGTGACAAAGTGCTTTCATCTTGTATATTAAGCTGCCCTCTAACTGTTGAAACATCATTGCTTCCAAGTCGTCCATTAGGTTCATTCACACTAGCCTTTTCTAAATACAACAATGCACAGTCAGTAATTCTTGATTGAGTGAAATAGAAAACACAGTAAACCTTGTCGAGCTCTTTTCGATTCTTGAATTTTTCGATACAAGTCTGCACCGCACAGCTGTTTAGCATATGCGCAATGTGGAAACCATCGAGCATGTTCAATCATTGGTTTATCGTTAGCCCCCCAGTTCTGCAATGATCCATTACAATAGAAGCATGTCACAATAGTTTTACTACCGGTATAGAAGAAGCCTGCTTTAACTAGATCATCAACACTTGGCAAATTTTCGTTCGGCCATGTAGCAAAAGAAGCATGACGTCTAGGAATTTCAATATAATTTGTATGACATGCGGCAGTATAAACAATTTCATTACTGCGAAATGTATCGTTATTTGCCGTCCCTATAGAGTTATCTCTCGTGAGCTGTTCATTAACAATACGAATTGATGATAGTTCTTGACGGCTTAGCATTGCAATGACATATGGACATGTCGGAGAAAGTGCTTTGTGTATTTCACATGGGTCATCTGTATGTGGTGTCCATTGTTGACAAATAAGATTACAATATATACAAATGACCCGATCACCAACATTACAATTGAAGAATCCAGCTTCAATCATTTGTGCACTTGAAGGAAACGTTCGATGTGGCCAATGGGTAAATGTTCGTTTTCGTATTTTTTTGACTATGTCAATTTCGATAAGTCTATAAAGTTGGCAAACGACTTGTGGTGTTTCGATTTTCTGACGTTTAGATGGTTGTTCGGCATCCATTAGCGCTGAAGTCGTTGCAGGAAGATTTATCGTTGATGGTGCGGAGGTTTTTCCATCGGGCACCATAGAACGAACAAATATACAGTTGGGACTGCGTTGTGCATGAATAGTAAATGGCTTCATGTCTGATGTCCATCCAGATATTTCTACGTCACAAGTGCTACAACGCACTGTGTCTCCTTTACCCGTATAATTCAAGCCAGCGCTAGCCATACTTATAGTAGAATGCACACCTTGTATTTGTAATAAAGCTTTGCATGTTTGTAGTGCTTGGGAAATAGAGCCAGCTTTCTCAGAATGGACTAGTTGTGAAAAGTAGGATATCCCTTTTATTGAAGACCAATTAATAGAGTATGATTTCGTCGCTGTTGAAGATTTGTCACCCAAAATTCGTTGACTAGGGCTCCATGGCCCATCCACTGAACAGTTTATTTCAATCATTTAGAAACTCTCAGGCTACAATCACAACGGTTGTGGTTAAACGATCATGTACTCTTCTCCGTTCTTTTACGTTTGCCTATCCGATTTGATTTAAATTACAACAAATCCTTTTAAGTTGCTCTGCCAATTAATTAGATCAGTATACCTATATATATAATGTTTAGTGTGTGTCTGTGTCGGATCAAAGATCAAAGACTAATGGTTAGATAAGGCTATAAGGGAAGGAGCCCCAAGGGCTCTTCTACAGAAGTACTCATAGGTCTTCAACGACTATTCTATGGGAATAGTCATAGGTACTCAAGGGCTGTCCTATGCGGGCACTCACAAGTCCTCAAGGTCTATCGTATGATGGTACTCATAGGTCGTCAAGGTCTATCCTAGGGTATCCATAGGTCTCCTGAAAGGCTACTATATGGGGGTATCTATAGGTTCACAAGTGATATTATATGGAAGTATCCTTAGGCCCTCAACCGCCGTCCTATGGAATACCCATAGGTCTTCAAGGATCATCCTATGGGTGGATGTGTGGAAGAGGGGGTACCCATAGGTCTCCTCATGGGCTATTACATGGGAGTACCCATAGGTCCTCAAGGGCTATTATATTAGAGCATCCATAAGTCTTGAAGGGAATAAGGCAATCTATATATATATAATGTTCAGTGTGTATGTGTTTCTCTATCTCAGGTTGAAGGTTAAAGATCGAATAAGGCTATAAGCAGGTAAGGCTTTAAGGAACAACGGAAGGGTGTGGGGGTGTGTGGGTGTGCGTGGGTATGGGTGTGGGTGTGCGTGGGTATGAGTGTGGGTGTGCGTGCGAGTGTGAGTGTATGCGGGTGGTTGTGGTTGTGAAGTGTGGGCTGTGCCTGTGG